CTGTGTAGTTTATTTATGGCATCCCGTTGGACTTGACGTCATCTGAACAGGACATCGCACGCTCACTGCTTGATAGCACGAAGGTCCGTTTACGCCGGTTGCTAAGCAACATCGTTATGGGGAAATGCAAGTCTGCGTCCAAATGGTTGGAAGATAAGGAGGAAGGACAATCAATAGTGTATATAGTCAATGTGAGGTGAAGTGTGTCGCCAAGGTAACCGGTTAGAACTCCAAGTGGTGATGAGGTCTTAAAATGTACGGAAAGGGTCTTAAAAGAGGTCTTAAAAGGTTTTACATTTGACTTCAGAATTCCAGCATATACCCTGTTGTAGCTAGACTTGTCGACAGTACATGTTGCCTGAGATAATACCTGGAAAGTATTAGTTGTCTTTTTAATCTCTTCCATTTACAGTTATGTTTTTTCCATCACAGATCTAACAAAAAAGTGTTTTTGTTGCTCGATAAAGAATCAGTGTTTTCAACAAATTGCTGCAATTGAAGACACAAGGAAGTCGTACACTTTTAGATGTTATCTCGTTATTGTTTTCTCTTCATAATGCACTGGAAAAACCAACACATAAAGAACAGAATGGATATATTTGGTGTATCCAATTATCTCACACCTCCACAGTGAAAGGCTCAGTATCAGATCCAGTGAACACCTGCACATAATAACCCAGATCCACCTGCGCAAATCTATTCTCATTACTTGATATAGCACGGTGGACATAGCACATTCATTATTCATGCTTTCTGCAAACTCCTACTGACCTCTGTCAAGGACATTTGGACAGGCATTCATCTTGGCAAAATTGGCCAATCACAGCCTCTAAATTGGACATATGCAAAAACGCAGAGGTGGAGTATGTGGAATAATGTGACTCTGCCTCTGCACACAGCACTGAGAGTGATACGTGTGCACACAGGCCTAATGACACCTTTCTGAATCTAATACAGCCGCAGAATGATGGCCCGGGCTCTGATTTGACCTTCGACCTTCTCACATTTAAAATGCCGCAGAGATGGCGTTCATTGTTTTTCATCTGGTCTGTTTATCTGAATGCATATGAAGCCATGCATCCTGTGTGACTGTCATACATGCCAGGGTATTATGGGTAAGCAGTCAATTGATTTGTGTTAGTGTTGGAGTACTATATATTTTATTTTTGGGATATTTATTGTGGAATAATGCTGCTGATTTGGTGATGGTTTGCATGCAGATTGAGATTGTTATTGCTTCCTTTATTGCTGTTGCTAATAGAGAAGTGTGTAGCAGCAGACCGAAGTTTGTGTCGTCTCTTAAACACTAGATTGTATTTAATTTCTCCTCTTAATCAGATAAGATAAAGATAAGAGGTACTTTATTGATCCCAATTTGGGAAAAGTTTGCATTGCAGCAGCATAAAAAACAACAAAACAAGGCGTAGCACATAAGTAGAAATCAAAGAGTAGAAATAAGCAAGAATTGAAACATCTCAAAATAGAATTAAAGCAGCATTAAAAAGTAGAACATTTACAATAGGCTGTGAAGATAAACCATTTATAAAACACTATCAAACTATTAATCAGCAGCATTATTCCAAAAACAATTAAATCCATACCATAAACAGTGCCAATAATACCACAAATGAATGGACGACACAGCATGTAAGACAGTTGCACCCAAACAGTGGAACAATAGAAAACATCTGATTTGCGTCTACATTATGAACCGTCCAGGTCTGTTTTTAGTCCGAACTAAACATGGAGATGCAGCGTTTAGCAATTATATTATAGATTATATTTATTATAGAACCTCCTCTTTTTCCAAATCAGCCTTTTTCCTTTTTGCCGCTGCTTTCGATTCAATCTTCTTTCACTGCACTGTAACTTTTATTCTTGTGTTTTATACCAGTTTTATTCTATTTTATCTGGTTTAATTGTATTCTCTTGGCTTTTTAACGACTGTTTTTAAATGTATTTTAAAGTAATTTTAGAAGACGCACTGAAAGCTTACATTTGTTTTGCCTTGCTAATGCCTTTCAATTCAGCCTTTTGTTATAAAGAGTATACTTCCTGTTTGAAGCCTGATTATAACACGGTAAATGGCTGTTCTTATATATCTCTTTATCAGGTCTTCTCGACCCCTCAGAGCTCTTTACAAACTACCAGTCATTCACCCATTCACACCTCATTCATGCAGAGCAGCACCACTTTACACAAGGACAAAACGGGTTGTATCAGCTACTTTTCTCTCGCGTATAGCCCGTTCATTCACACGAGGCCGACACGTAAACGCGGAAACGGACCCCGCAAACGATAACGGGTCCCAAGGTGGATAGATTTGCAAACGGAACGCTCTGGGGGGTCAAACGGATCCGTGTAATCGCCTGAGAGGTGGATGTTTTTCATCTGCTGGTGGACTACCGGAGAGATTTACAGCAGGAGCACACGCCGTCCACCGCGGAGAATAAACAGAAGGGCAACCATGGCAACCACGTCTTCTTCGCTGCTTTTGGTGTATTTTGTGGCGGCAGCAGCGCCACTTACAGGCCCGGCATATGTACTACAGCGTTTCCAGCTGTCATGGCTGTTCTTATATATCTTTATCAGGTCTTCTCGACACCTCAAAGCTCACAAGCTACAAACTACCAGTCATTCACCCATTCACACACCTCATTCATGCAGAGCAGCACCACTTGCTCGAGGGAAGCACACACACATACACTCAGACAAACTCTCTCACACACTTACACACCGTTGGCCATCGGGAGCAACTCAGGGTTCAGTATCCCTATAATAACATGGATATAAGAATACTTCACCAAAACATTTCAAATTCTTTGAGTATTTGTTGGAGGTCTGAGAAGAAATATGTATTTGTTGTTTGTTTATTATAAATGTTGATGCGTCACCTGTTGGAGGAGAGGTCCATCTAAAAAATGCAAAATACCCAAAAGAGCTTTTCAGAGTTTTGTCAACAGCTTTTATCTTTTTTGTTTAGAGACACTTCAGACCATCTCTCTCTTCATCGTGACCTTATACCGCTGCATGCACAACCCCCCTTTTAAAAAAAAAAGTTTTGCAATAGAGAGGTGCACTGATGACATATTTTAGTAGTACAACCTGGAGGTTAGCATCACAAGGGCTCACACGACAAAAAGCTAATGGGATTTTTCCATTGGATTTTGGAATTTTGTGACAAATTCCATGTCTAACAAACGTTTATGATACTGATTACACGTTTTGTTCAGCAGGATGATCTCCACACATTAACACCACTTTATGATTTTTGAAGTAAAAAGCTAATGTTGGGCTATAAAGGAACTACAGCACGGTCACATGACTTCACGTCACCACCGCTAAGCTAAAGGCGGCTAATGTTTGGTTATAAAGGAACTACAGCACGGTCACATGACTTCACGTCACCACCGCTAAGCTAAAGGTGGCTAATGTTGGGCTATAAAGGAACTATAGCACGGTCACATGACTTCACGTCACCACCGCTAAGCTAAAGGCGGCTAATGTTGGGCTTTAAAGAAACTACAGCACGGTCACATGACTTCACGTCACCACCGCTAAGCTAAAGGCGGCTAATGTTGGGATATAAAGGAACTACAGCACGGTCACATGACTTCACGTCACCACTGCTAAGCTAAAGGTGGCTAATGTTGGGCTATAAAGGAACTACAGCACGGTCACATGACTTCACGTCACCACCGCTAAGCTAAAGGTGGCTAATGTTGGGCTATAAAGGAACTACAGCACGGTCACATGACTTCACGTCACCACCGCTAAGCTAAAGGTGGCTAATGTTGGGCTATAAAGGAACTACAGCACGGTCACATGACTTCACGTCACCACTGCTAAGCTAAAGGTGGCTAATGTTGGGCTATAAAGGAACTACAGCACGGTCACATGACTTCACATCACCGTCACATGACTTCACATCACCACCGCTAAGCTAAAGGCGGCTAATGTTGGGTTATAAAGGAACTACAGCACGGTCACATGACTTCACGTCACCACCGCTAAGCTAAAGGCGGCTAATGTTGGGTTATAAAGGAACTACAGCACGGTCACATGACTTCACGTCACCACTGCTAAGCTAAAGGTGGCTAATGTTGGGCTATAAAGGAACTACAGCACGGTCACATGACTTCACATCACCACCGCTAAGCTAAAGGTGGCTAATGTTGGGCTATAAAGGAACTACAGCACGGTCACATGACTTCACGTCACCACCGCTAAGCTAAAGGTGGCTAATGTTAGGCTATAAAGGAACTACAGCACGGTCACATGACTTCACGTCACCACTGCTAAGCTAAAGGTGGCTAATGTTAGGCTATAAAGGAACTACAGCACGGTCACATGACTTCACATCACCACCGCTAAGCTAAAGGTGGCTAATGTTAGGCTATAACGGAACTACAGCACGGTCACATGACTTCACATCACCACCGCTAAGCTAAAGGTGGCTAATGTTAGGCTATAAAGGAACTACAGCACGGTCACATGACTTCACGTCACCACCGCTAAGCTAAATGTGGCTAATGTTGGGATATAAAGGAACTACAGCACGGTCACATGACTTCACGTCACCACCGCTAAGCTAAAGGTGGCTAATGTTGGGCTATAAAGGAACTACAGCACGGTCACATGACTTCACGTCACCACCGCTAAGCTAAATGTGGCTAATGTTGGGCATGATGACATTTTGTTGTCCCGTTTAGACACTTTTTAGCATCCACCGTTTTTGTATTCACCAGTGGATGCACTGGATGTGTATTTTGTAACTTGTGTATTTAAAATGTTATCGTAACTATTATATGCATGCTTCTAAATTAACAAAAAACTATCTTTGTCTCTTTACTTTTGCTGTAACAGTTTTTCTGTTATTTATCATGCAATATTTCCCCAGATATTTCTGTGACATTAACACAGATGTTGCGTTACGTCCGCACCAATCAGACTGGTTTCACCTCCTTGTTTATCGTGCTGTTCCCTCGTTGTGTTTGCAGGCGCCTGGAGAGCGTGGTGTTTGAGTGCGGCTGTGACATCCGCTGGGTCCAGCTGTGGCAGCAGAGAGGAGACGCCGCGCTGCACACTCAGCAGCTGTACTGCAAGAACGGAGCCTCCAAGATACGCCTGCACAACATGTACATCCACAACTGTGGTAAGAGCAGGAGGAGGAGGAAGAGGATGAGGAAGATGAGGAGGGAGGAAGGGTGTGATCTGCATTTAAAAAAAGCTGGGAAGAGAAAAAGGAAGGAGGGAAACAAAGGAGATGGGCTGAAGGGAGCAGACAGGAAAAGCAGGAGATGGAAGGAAAGGGTTGAAGGTGGAATAGAAGAAAGAGGAGGAGGAGGAAGAGGAGAAAGAGGAGGTGTTACAGAGTTCAGAGGGTGAATCTGATGCGTTGATTCTGACAGAGGCTGTAGACTCTGCGGAATAATCTCCTGCTGGTGACTCATCCCTGTGACATCTAATATTTGCAGGAGTGTGTGTGTGTGTGTGTGTGTGTTTGGTGTAAGTGTGTGGCTCCTTTGTACTCATTTGGTTACATTAATGAAAAGTGATTAATTGATTTTGTGTGAAAGCATGTAGACCCAGGCGGCAACAGGTGTGTGTTAACATGAGCTTCCACTGTGTGTGTGTGTGTGTGTGTGTGTGTGTGTGTGTGTGTGTGTGTGTGTGTGTGTGTGTGTGTTGTGTGTGTGTGGTGTGTGTGTGTGTGTGTGTGTGTGTGTGTGTGTGTGTTGTGTGTGTGTGGTGTGTGTGTGTGTGTGTGTGTGTGTGTGTGTGTGTGTGTGTGTGTGTGTGTGTGTGTGTGTGTGTGTGTGTGTGTGTAGACAACAGTGAAATGTAACTAAGTACATTTACTGAAGTACTGTACATAACGTTTGGGTACTTGAGTATTAACTTATCCTGCTGCTTTTTACATCTACTGCATTTTGATTCAATATTGTACTTCAATTATCACTTGTACTAAAACTAGTACATTTTTACATACAAAATATGATATATGAATATATATATATATACTAAATCTACTCAGTGTTACACAAGGCATCTAAACATTACTCTACACTGATAAAAAACGAATTATTAATTATCACATCTTATTATATACGAGTATTGACATATTCTACAAAAGTATACCTGATCTCAGAACGTACTGCTCCTTTAACTGAACTAGAGGGAACGAGTGCTTCTTCCCTCTCTGTTTATGTATTTGTGTTAACATGCACTGTGTGTGTGTGTGTGTGTATGTGTGTGTCTGTGTGTCTGTGTGTGTTTTCAGACCTGCCAGAGATCAGTGTGAGCCACAGCAGTTTGTTGGTGATGGAGGGAGACAACGTGACGGTGAGCTGCAACGGATCGGGAGCGCCGCTGCCCGAAGTGGACTGGACCGTCAGCGATCTGCACTCCATCAACACACACCTGGTACACACACACACACACGCTCCATCAACACACTCCTGGTACACTCACACACACACACACACACACATATACACACACACACACACACACACACACACACACACACACACACACACACACACACACACACACACACACACACACTGCTATCAGTTAGCTTTTATGGATAAGCTACAAAATGACTGAATGAGTGGCAGTTCATGTAAATTATACCAAAATAACCTTTTATGTGACACATATATATTTAGTTTTTCAACAATTAGCACCATTTAAAAAAACTATTTTAGTAGAGTTTTTGTAGTAGAGTAAATACACACACACACACACACACACACACACACACACACACACACACACACACACACACACACACACACACACACACACACACACACACACACACATACATTGGAGGCTGATGTTAACACACCACCTGTGTCTACATACTTTCACCACAAATCAATGTATCCCTTTTTATTAATGTAACAGAATGAGGACAAATGTGCCACACACTCACACATACACACACATACACACACACACACACACCCCCACACATACACACGCACGCACACACACAAACATCTGTGAATTCACTGCAATGAGTTAGCTTTTATGGCTTAGCTACAAAATAACCTAGTGGCAGTTAATACAAATGACACCAAAATAACCTTGTATGTAACACTCTTCTCAACAATTAGCACCAGACTCATGTCATGTCATCAAAAGTAAATTGAAGCGTCCTCACATGTGATGAAGGGGCCCATCGTATCTGCTCTGTAGCGCTCTGATTAGCTGCAGATACAATACAAGCTTGTTTCATGAGACTGACAGTCCTGAGTTGAACCCACAGTGAGGCCCCGGGGACAAACAGCGCAGAACAGCAGGGTCTGAAACATTTCTCATCCGTGCTGCGGTGACTTTACAGAAGAAAGTCACCTCCGCCTCGGGCTGCATGTTTGAGGAGAGACACACTGGATCTCAGGAGTAAAGTGTAAGAGGGACTGAAGGAAAAGAAGGGAAGCATTGTGTTTTAAGGAGAAGAGTTCGTCAAAATATGTACAATTCTAATAACACTAGATCCCTGCAGTGGATACGTCCCACAGGTTCAGGGTCATATTATGTATTTGTACCCGTAGGTAGATTTGGTTTACAGATAAAAGACAAGGGATCCATTATGACACACATTTTAAAACACACAGACAACATCTCTCAAAGTACCCCCTGCTCCGTCACATCTAAAAACATTTAACATTCGTCAAAGCACCAGTACGAACATGAGCAATACAGAGAGTTAATAAGTAGATAAATGGACATTGCTACGATAGCACATGTGTAACACTGCAACATGGTGTGTACTCACTTTGTCATCAAATCAACATTACCAATCATTATTTATCAACATATTCTTATTGCACTGTGTATATTTTGAAATCACTAAATGTCAAACGTACAACACTCTTGCTGCATTTCTAATAAAGCTACTTCCCTGCAGTGAATGTACTCAAGATTCAAAGGCTTTATTGTCAAATTGCAATATCTATATCGTAGTTGTTGGCTCTTCTAACAGCACAGCATACAATATAATCAAGACACAGACAGAGAGAAAGACAAAGTGTGCAGGGAAATAAAAAATACATGAATTTCCGCAGGGAAATGTAATTTCTTAGGTGTCACATGTAATTTCTTAGGTGTCACATGTAATTTCTTAGGTGTCACATGTCATTTCTTAGGTGTCATGTAATTTCTTAGGTTCCACATGTAATTTCTTAGGTGTCACATGTAATTTCTTAGGTTCCACATGTAATTTCTTAGGTGTCACATGTAATTTCTTAGGTGTCACATGTAATTTCTTAGGTGTCACATGTAATTTCTTAGGTGTCACATGTAATTTCTTAGGTGTCACATGTCATTTCTTAGGTGTCACATGTAATTTCTTAGGTGTCACATGTAATTTCTTAGGTGTCACATGTCATTTCTTAGGTGTCACATGTCATTTCTTAGGTTCCACATGTAATTTCTTAGGTTCCACATGTCATTTCTTAGGTGTCACATGTCATTTCTTAGGTGTCACATGTAACATCATGGCTTTAACATGTAATCCCATGGGTTACACATGGAAATTGACATGGTCTTCACACCAAGAAGTTAAAAAACCACATGTGCTATGGTGGCCGACCAATGCCTAAAACATTTTCCTTTTTGAAAAACACGTTGAAGTTTCTAAAAAGACAACTATGCCAAAACACATGCAAATGAAGAAACAACTGAACGACACATGTGCAGCGTTTACTAAAAGCGCTGCATAAACAAAACATGTAAAACAGAAGGAGATGATTATATTATTCACTTTCTTTTGGGGGGTAATTGCATTAGTTTAGGCCCAGGAATATAACGATATACGCTCTATCCCTCACAATGACTCTCCGTCTGTGTCTCTTTCTCCTTCAGTCTAATGTGTACTGGCCGAACATCCACTCCATCAACCTGACTCTGTTCAACATCAGCCGGGAAGACAACAACTTCCAGCTGACGTGCATCGCAGAGAACGTGGTGGGAATGAGCAACTCCTCCATCCAGCTCAACGTGCAGTGTGAGTAACATGCATCTAATACAACGGGGGTAGAGGGGGGATGTGAAGGCTACGCTTAAGCTTGAATTGGACACATGGCTAATATCTTATAACACATATCTTAAAGGGGATCTATCATGCACTTTTTGATGTCTTGTATACATAAATATGTGTCCCCGGTGTGTCAGGAGACTCACAAAGTGTCAGAAAACAAAACCCTCTCTCTTTTCCTCCGTGCGCAAATCTCTAAAAACAGGGGAGCAATGGAGCTGATCCAGATTTGCCATCCGTGGGTCCACCATCCGATGACGTAAATGATTACGTCATCGGATGGTGGACCCACGGCCCTATCAGAAACGTTGCTATCAGAAACAATGCCCCACGTGTTTTGGATGTAATATGGTCTTTGTTTACATTAGCATTGCTAACACTCAGAGCTAACCTGTAACCTGTACTGGAGAGAATATGTGTAAAGAAGCAGGAAATATAAAAAGGAACTCACCTTGTGGTAAACCCGCAAGAAAAGAAGCATTTGAGCTCCATGCTGTTTCAGAAATAATCCCTGATGTGGTTTTGAACATGATATGGCGTTTCATTACCGCAGCATTTAGCTGAGAATCTACCGGGTCCCCCCATGAGCAGGCATAAGCTCCGCCCCCCTCTTTTTTCAGCACTTTAGTAACGGGGCTGATAACGGAGGGGTATGAGGCTAGAACGAGTGATCTGTTTGGTATTTGGAGCAAAACATTTCATAGACATGTTTTTTATATATTTGTATATATATGAGACCTATGCTATTGCCTACAAATAGCATGATAGGTGACCTTTAAATATACACTACAAGTAGACAGATTACCTGCTTGTACTCGGTTTACTTTATTGCCTTAATTTAAATACCAATGTGTCTTCCGATACAATATTTAGTATGATACTATTTTTACTTTGGTTTAACATCTTACAATCTGGTATGGACATGATTTCTGCAAGTCTAACAGTCAACTTATATAGTAAATATCAACACAACATGAATCATTTTACTCCAATCAAAAGCACTGAATTTAAAGGAAATACAAAAGTAGGTAACATTGTGTTCATCCGTTGTCTTCCATTATAAATATATATAACAACGTCAGGGAACATTGCGAAGAGGATCATTTGTGCCAATGCTCAATTGAGAGACATGGAGGATATCATTAATATTAAGTCAAAATATTCACACAAGAAAAAACTACTCTTCAAATGTTTGTATATCTTTGTTATTCAACTACTAGTGTGCAAAACACCTTCTCAAGGTCTTACATGTTTTCTAAAGTACTCAAATGTATCTTTAAGTAATGAAAATCAAGCAAGAAAGTTGTTTTCAATGTAACACTTCAAGGAAATTCATTAGCATACTAAGATATCCCTTATTTTGTAATAAACACATAGGGCAGCTGAGGCTAATGGGAATGTTTATAGATTAGCAAATAAAACCAGTACTGAACAAATGGAAATGAAGACATAATGATGGTGTCATTTTATTACAGTTCAAGGAGAACCTGAATGTGTGTAAATTCAAAGCCATTCATCCAAGAAACCATCACTAAATGTCGAATACTGTGTAACACACATAGTGCTGGAAAAAAGGAACGATATTTTGGTTTTGACCAAAGTGGAGGACAGGCAGAATAATATTGACTCCACTGGATCCTGTTGTCATGTTGTTTGCTGTTGATTTAATGTGTGGTCCGTGCGGATTAACCCAGGGATAAATGTAGTGTGAACATCTGTACTCACTAACAACCTCCATCAATCATCAATTCCACCTCCACAAGGTGTATAACATCTCAATTAACGGCCATTTATCTATATTAGATCTCTTACCGACCGTCCTTAAATGTAATCCAGATGATAATTAAATGTCCTCTTTAATGTTTTTTGCCAAGCGTAGTAATATTTAGTCATTTTGTAGAAGACAGTGTGGATTTGCAGCTGTTCTAATTAACATTTTGTGTCCAGTGAATGGAAGGTAAGCGGCATATTGATTGAGTCCTAAATCACCTAAGATTACCTCAAATCTATAACAATTTGCCGCATTATCCAATATTTGGATTATTATGTTGTGTGTGTTGGGTGTATGGAGATATTAAGAGTTTAGGTTTTTCTGCTCTCCTTTATGTTTCAACAGTCATGTCGATTATAATAGGCACGGTTGCCACTGAGTTTTCTGATTAATTTTGGAACGATCAGGCCGACAGCAGAGACCAATCCTGTAATTAATGTATTAAAACATCCTTATTTAGAATGCATCTGGTAGAAGCTAGAAGGCAACAACGCTGGCTTTCAATTGCACAAGATGCCTTTCATGGCAGCTTTGATGGACTGATGTTGTCGACTGAAATGCATCTTGTATTAATGACACGGACAGTCTAAGAGAATAATTTAAAAAGAGGGGGAAAAATATCCTTTTTCAAGTCGAACAGCCAAATTATGCAGGTACATTTAAAATGCTATGATGTGTTGCAAAGTTACAAATCTAATGAAATTGATGTAGCCAATTAGCAAGAATATACCCTCCAGCCCACATGAAAGCAAAGCCTTGATCTGAGTGGAAAAATCCCCTCAGCTATGGAGAAGCAATAATTTGGTAACCATCCGAATGTTCCTCTTAATATTCAGACCATCATTTACACTCGTACACTACATGTTATGTTAGATAAGTTTACCCCGTGGATCGGCCTTGGGCAGAAATGTGACGGACGGTGTTCAAAGCCAATATTTTATTAAAGGTGCCTGACATTTTTTTCTCTTTGTAGCAAGCATGCTGTTGTAGAGCACAATCTAGTATGAGAGTTTGCAATGCATCAGGCTGCAGGACACGGGGAACTTGCCGTCAATGCAAACCCTCCCCACTGAAGCACGGCAGCTAAAGAGCGTGCTAAAATGACAGATTGACTTTTGCAACATCTAGTCTTCAGGGCTTCATCTACACGGACACTCTACGGATGCACGTCTCCAGGCATTTTCTTCCATTATGTTGTCACTCTCTGCTGGTGCTGCAAATTAACTTATTAATTTTTCACCACATGCTTCGATGGTAATTACATTTCCTCCCCTGCGCAGCCTATTGTCTCTGGAAATGTCATAAAATAGCTTAAACTGCTGCTCTGATTAGGGAGTAATGTGATTGACAGCGAAATTACCAGCCGTCAAGAAACATTCCCTGCATTCAAAGATGAGTTTCTTTTTTTAGCGTAACTGTAATTATCCACAATGCAAATTCTGCAGAGCCATTGTTCTGCTGCTGCCTGGAACAAAGCAGCTCTACAGCATTGTGGACTCACACAACGTAGCATCCTCTTCTTTAGTCCTACTGTAAAGTCATGGTGTTGAACAGAAAAGATGGACAGGGGGACAACATTTTCCTAATTGGACAACTCATCCTCTGAGGCTTTTCGCCAGCATCCCAAATAATGATTTCATCCACCCCGAAGACAGTGTAAATTGTCATAAATTGACACATGCCAACAGTTTAATTTCTGCAAAAAGCATAAGATTCCAATAATTGTCATTTGGTGTTTATAGTTATATCTTATAAACTGCTTCGAGCTAGTTTTTTAAAAGTCAGACAGGTCATGATACCCTATCTATATTAACACATGTATCTGTATAAACATCTCCTTTAAACAACTGTATTTCTTCCCGCCAAAAATGCGATTTAACTTTACAAGATTCCATTTGAACACATCATCATAAAGGTATAACTGACTTTCACATTTACTAATTTATACTTAATAGAGCTAAAACGCATCATAAAGCAACTTATTTTAGCATTAGCTGTTAGCTCCATATAGCCAAGCAGGACTTTGCCACTAATTGGATGCTAACTTCTATGATGACTAGCTCTCTTGCCGATTCGAACATCGATTTCATTTTCTTACAATGTATCTCGGACAAATTAGGTTAGTTCAACGGAGAGTTAACTGCGTCCTTCCGGGTTCAACACAGAAGTTACGTTTGTCACATGCTATCTGCTGGCTTATTCATTTAAGGGTCAACCGTAACCCTTTGTCAACCTGCTTTTTAGCGTAGTCATTTTCACCCTTTGACATATCCGTGTGCTGCTTATTATGGGTTCAAATACTTTGGTTAAACTCATATGTGGCGTCTGTCTCATACTCTCCTGTCAACCAACGTAAGCCACATCTGATTGGAACATGGCATTTACATTATTCAACCAGTGTTAGATAACTTTGCACAACAAGCGCTTGTATTCCCATTGATCAAAGGCATGTAGTTATCAAAGCTTGTCATCCATATAAGCGCCACAAGGACACCATGTTGTTACAGACCAGTATGGAGCACAGTAATGACTCTGTATTGTATTGACTGATGCTTGGGTGACAGCCACGCTGAGGAGAAAATGGATAGGTCCCCAACTGTCCATCAAGAAGAGAATTTCATTATTTCCTCTTTTTCTCTCTCTCCCAGTCTTTTTGTTGCTCAGCCATATACCGCCCTCCTGCCAGTCGTCTCCGTCCTCGCTCTTTCTTTCCCATCATCTCTATCCAGTCTTCTTTGTTCCCTGCTCACACAATCACAGCTCTGCAAAACGCCCCCACACTAGCAGCTCCACACACGCTCTTGCCTTAGCCTTTAGTGCAATTGAATGACTTCTTTGTCACTATTGTCTAGCAGGAACAATTTCACCAAAGTAATTTATGAAATAACAGCTTCCAAAACACAACTGAATACTGCATTCATCTTAATACCGGACAATATCTTGGTATGAAAACATGAGCTACCCTTTGCACGACAATTTACAACTCTTTTTATATATAACCAGGTTTTGATAATGTAAATAAAGTGTAGTCTTTACAATTATGATGGCTTTATGCCAGGAAATAACTAGTTCATAAGACTTGTTGTCACACCACATCAGATGTATTTCTGTTTTTAACTCCCAAATTGTCCAAATGGGCCATCAACTAAAAAAAGGCTCTAAAGGACGTCAACAATTTGGTCAGGAGTTTGTACTGCACAAGTACAATATCAGCTAAGACAGACACTGCGTTATTTTCGTTATTTGTTTTTTCTACACATGGCAGTTATTTTAAAACAAAACATGTACACTCTTTTTGTAGGAAAGGAGAAGACACTCTTAAAATCTAACCATAAAAACGTAAAATCAAAAGCAATGTTCTGTCAATCACAGTTGCTTACAAAGATCTACAGAAACATAAAACCAGAACACAATCAAAAGTAATCTCCATACTGTCTGATTACGCTTTCTTAATAATACATTTTCTTAAACACAAGGATGTATACAGCCCTTTAAATCTCACGGTAAAGACTGAGGTATCTTGATCTGTTACATTGATTGTCATTATTTTCTGTGTAGACATTCTTGGTCCCTAGAGGATGAATCATAAAGCCTTGGGTGATTACCTGACCCTTTTTTTGCTGTCAAAGTTTTACCTTATTCAGCAAATATCTGACATCTGCCTTTTGGTACAACATGTTTACAGACATTCATGTCACCCAGAGGATGAGCCCTTCAGACTTGAGTGATCTCCTTAATGTTTGTATCTAACGCTACATTGAGGGTTGTGGCTTTGAAATGTCACTATATTCATCGGGTGGATTGCATTTAAATCAGCTTCAAATCTGCATGTCCTCCTCAGGAAGACATGCAACACCCACTGAGGTCAGAAATGGTGTACTGTTTTTCATATAATGGGACATGTGAGGCTCGGAGGCTACAAACAAAAGGTTGTGTGTGTGTGTGTGTGTGTGTGTGTGTGTGTGTGTGTGTGTGTGTGTGTGTGTGTGTGTGTGTGTGTGTGTGTGTGTGTGTGTGTGTGTGTGTGTGTGTGTGTGTGGTGTGTGTTGTGTGTGTGTGTGTGTGTGTGTGTTGTGTGTGTGTGTGTGTGTGTGTGTGTGTGTGTGTGTGTGTTGTGTTGTGTAATTGGTTAATGCACCTCAGCACTAATCTAAGCGTCTTTGGGTTCAAGAAAAGGGCTATAGAAATAAAATGTATTATTATTATTAATCCCTGATTCAAAGTATAATTAGGAAACGTGTATAGTACATGTTATTTGACGCATTGCATGAAACTACAGAAGGGTATTCACAAGGGAAGCTGCAGGATTGTCTGAATAACAACACATGATCTAGCGAAAAGGATTGCTCTCGCATGCCTATAGAAATCGCAGCCTAGCGAGAGGAGGAATGAAGAACAGACACACAGCGAGGCTGTCAGGTAGTACTGCCTGCCAAATATTTAGTTTTGATGATGTAGCTGCAAAAGTGAATCATTGCACAGACAAATCAGTGCATGAATTGTTTATGAATTGAAGTGATAAATTGCCTTTCAGCTTGGCGGTGTTGTAGATTCAGATGTGTGCTGCTGCACGTCAGCAAAGACATGCGCTCGTTCATTTGAAGAGATTCCTTCTGTCTATCTCGAGCAAGAGGAGTCCCTCGTTCTGTTTGTTTCCCTCACTGTCTCACGTCCTGCGGCAATATGTAAAACACAGTAAAAGGCTCATTGCCACTCCCAGGCAAGAAACCTGCCTACTAAATGTCAAGCTCTCCAGAACCATCTGAGCAGCTTTAGGTTTAGTTCGCTGTTGCATTTTGTGGTGCACTTTAGGCCAGTTTTAATCAGCCCAGGGGTTGTGAAACTTTCTCTACGTCTAAAGGACTTTGTTATACTTCCAATGACGTAAAACACAAAATAATTGAGACAACATTTACAATTTCTGGGTCATGAAATACTCATTCTGCCCTTTGCCTCATGCTATGGAGCTCTAAGCAAGGGAAGGCACGTTTCTTTATCCAGCACCTTTCAACACAAGGCAGTTCAAAGTGCTTTACAAACATGAAAGACATTAAGAGCATTAAGAAGTAATGCAGTTGAAACACATTATAAAATGGCATTTAAAAACAGTCGTTACAAAGCAAAGATAATAAAATAAACCTTAAATAAGAATATTAATCTTTGGCCTTCAAGCCATTTTCTTTTCAATTCCCAGAATTTAGGATATTTAAACCAAGACTTTCCCGCTTTAATACAAGTTGCAGTTCAAATTGTCTGTTTGTTTATTTGTTTTTTCAGTATTGTTGACCCTGGAAGAATGGTCTCTTTTACTCCCTTTATTGTACATGTGAGGGTCTATGTATGTATGCTTTCTGTGTTTGACAATGTCACAAATAAATAAAAAAGATCATACTTAAAAATATATCTATATCTCAAGTTAAAGATTTGGTTCCTTTTTCCCTGCAGTTCCTCCACTCATCGTGAGACTGGCAGAGCCCGAGAAGCGCCACGACACCTGCATCGAGTTCACGGTGCGGGGCTACCCACACCCGAGGCTGCGCTGGTTCTACAAGAAAAAGGAGATTGTTGAGAACGATTACATCCGCACTGAGCTGGACTTCTACCAGGACTATCTGGAGGGTTGTCTGATCTTCAAGAACCCGACGCACCTCAACAATGGAAACTACACTCTCGAAGCCAGCAACCGTTTGGGAACGGTCACCAAGTCGGTGAATGGTCGCTTCCTCTTTGCCCCGGATATAGAGGGTGAGTGGATCATTTCTTTCTGGTAGCTGTTCCTAACTGTGCCTTTGTTTGATGAGTTATGCAATGTTGGCATCTGGCAGCACTGATGTCCCCGTCACCACAATTGAGAGTTTACTCCAGAGTAAAATGTCATTTATACGAGGGCTATTAACACTATTTATATTCACAGGAGAAAAAGAAGAAATACGGCCAAGTGGCTGCCTGATTCCCACCAGAGTTAGCATGGCCCACCTTTTCAAACAAACCTCATTATCGGAACAAGTCTTTGACTAGTTGAATTTCTCGTTTAAAACTACCTGTTTTATGAATTGCAGGTTCTGTCCTTGGTGTAAAAAACTATTGGGAGCTTTTAGTTTTTATTAAAACTCCCTCCTAGGGGGCAGGTTGTGGAAGTGATCCCTGCCGGCTGGATTGCAGCCAGGGTTCATCCACAGTTCAGTCAGGTAGATTGTTCACTTGCAGTTCATTCTGAGTGCACAGGGAGGGGAAATAAACCCACAAAGACTGGCAAATTTCTCCCCATGGTCAATATTCCAAGGTTAATACCTTGTGTCAATTTATTGGCAAAGCGTGACTTTCCTTGTCTTCTCTTTTGCAGATGTAGTGGAAATAGGTGAGTGCTTCTGTTCTGGAAATTCAACCCTCTCCTATCATTTGGTTTTGTTCTTTTACTACCTGTTTGTTTGATGTCAGCGTGCACACACACACACACACACACACACACACACACACACACACACACACACACACACACACACACACACACACACACACACACACACACACACACACACACACACACACACACATTACATACTGTTGGACGTTCACTGCTGAGATGGTAACCATGTAGAAATGTGTTCACTGTGTTGCAGTCCATAAACAAAGCGTTTGAGCATCTGGACCTTTATAGGGATAAATGTTTATCATAGTATTTATACGTAATGCTATTCATATGCAGCGTGAGTCATTCATCTTGGATGGTATCTATGTTCCCAGGGTCTTACAGTATTTCCCAAGCCCAAATGACTTTTTCCCTACGTCAGTGTATGTCGTCCATATGATGAATTCCCCTTTAGGATACAGATGTTATAGGTCTACTCCCCACAGACAACCTCAAATGTGTAGGAAAGACAGTTTTCACAGTTGTTGACAATATACGTAACCATTCAAGCTGAATTTGAAAAACACCCATCTGCCTTTGTTCTTTTGCAATTTGGTCTGAAATAGACTCTGGGAACAAATGGATGACCCCACTTGAATCACCCCTGACTGTCAAGAGACTGAAACTGGCAATCTCAGAGTCAATAAAACTGATCTGTAAAGCATGGGGGCTTAGGGTTTCCAAAATCCACCAGACACTGGCTTTTATTTTATGGCGGAGATTTGTTGGTTCAGATGATGCTTCAGTGTTGCCCTGCTTCACGCTCATCAGTTCTCCACACTCTCTTAGTGAGGTGACCTGAACCACCTGCAGTTTGCTGGTTGGTAACTTGAGCTGGGATTTTATGCTTTAATCAAACCTTCCCTAAGCCCTTCTCCGTTAGTTACTGTTGGTGTAGCTCTCAGTAACTGTGCAATGAATACAGCCAAAGGCCAACTAGTGTGTACGTACTGAGTAAGAGGAAATCATTTTTCTACACCAGCAGGTGATTGTGGTCTTTTGCGGTCTATGGTGGTCTTTGGCTATCTTTGGTGGTTTTTGGTGGTCTTTGGCGGTCTTTGGCGGTCTTTGGCTGTCTTTGGCCGTCTTTGGCCGTCTTTGGTAGTCTTTGGCTGTCTTTAGTGGTCTTTGATCGTCTTTGGCTGTCTTTGGCTGTCTTTGGCTGTCTTTGGCTGTCTTTAGTGGTCGTTGATCGTCTTTGGCTGTCTTTGGCTGTCTGTGGCTGTCTTTGGCTGTCTTTAGTGGTCTTTGATCGTCTTTGATCGTCTTTGGCGGTCTTTGGCGGTCTTTGGCTGTCTTTGGCGGTCTTTTGCGGTCTATGGTGGTCTTTGGCCGTCTTTGGCCGTCTTTGGCCGTCTTTGGCCGTCTTTGGCTGTCTTTAGTGGTCTTTGATCGTCTTTGATCGTCTTTGGCCGTCTTTGGCCGTCTTTGGCTGTCTTTAGTGGTCTTTGATCGTCTTTGGCTGTCTTTGGCTGTCTGTGGCTGTCTTTGGCTGTCTTTAGTGGTCTTTGATCGTCTTTGATCGTCTTTGGCGGTCTTTGGCTGTCTGTGGCTGTCTTTGGCTGACTTTGGCGGTCTTTGGCATTCTGTGGCTGTCTGTGGCTGACTGTGGCTGTCATTGGCTGTCTTTGATCGTCTTTGGCGGTCTTTGGCGGTCTTTGGCTGCCTTTGATGGTCTTTGGCGGTCTGTGGCTGACTTTGGCTGTCATTGGCTGTCTTTAGTGGTCTTTGATCGTCTTTGGCGGTCTTTGGCTGTCTTTAGTGGTCTTTGGCGGTCTTTGGCTGTCTTTGGCTGTCTTTAGTGGTCTTTGATCATCTTTGGCGGTCTTTGGCTGTATGTGGCTGTCTGTGGCTGACTTTGGCGGTCTTTGGCGGCCGATCCCAGCTCCTCCAGTCTAGCTCTAGTTGACATGTTGATGTATACTCATGCAAGATACCTAACCCCAAGTGTGGCACATTGCACTGTATGAATGAGGTGTGAATGGGTGAATGATGACTTGTATATGTAAAGCGATTTGAGACGTCGTAAAGACTGGATAAAGCGCTCCAATAATACAGTGCATTTACAATTTACCCACGTCACTCTCTCTTCACTCCGGATGGCCATCGTCACCTGTTTATCAAAATCTGATGAGATCATTATTATAAGCTAGAAGAGCCTGTGTGTGCCGTGTCTCATCCTAATCATCTGCTGTATTATCATGTTAACTGTGCTTCTTGAGTAAATGTACTTACTTTCTTAACACCACTCCCTGCTCTTAAATCATGCAAATCATGTGGTATATGCCCAAGAAATCTCTCGTTTCAAATAATTGTCTTTAATGCGGATTCTTTCCTTAACTTAGCGTGCATAATACTAGCCTCTAACTAATCAGCCATAGTGGAAACAAGCTAGTTTCCCTGCCCGTTAGCTGTTGATGTGTCTCTGTTGGTGAAGCGGCAAGTGCAGTCATATTGCTGGAAAGATGCCACGGCCTCTCTTTTCTGCATCGTAAATCTCCTGTGTGTGATGTGTGGTTTGGCCTCAGGCTGTTGTGGCAACCTCACATTTGACGGCTTAAACTAAGTGGGCTGTTCTGATCTCTGACCTTCATCGCAGTCTTCTTCCATCTCCATATGAGGCCATTCTTTCTAATCAGCGGCTCATTATAATATGGCCAACTTGCCGGGATAGAGACGGATGGACGGAGACTCTGCAGCGGGCATGGGGTTTATTTATTTCCCCAGACATGTGCATGCACACCTGCACAGCTTGTGAGTGAGGCAGGTGAGGAAGAGGTGTTCAGTGAGAAACATTAAAGTGGAGGTGTGTGAGGGAGTTCATCCGGAGAGGGGAGAGTGACAGGCTGACTGATACTAATACTGCTGAGGGGAGAGGAGGGCAGAGGGAGGGATGAAGGCTGCGAGGGAGGGACACAGCCATGGTAGTTAGAGCCCACACACTCACACACTTTAGTGTAATGTGTGTGTCTGAGCCAGTGGCAGCCAGTCTACCATGTGGCCATTAATTTGCCCACAATTACTCTCTGATGTCCTGGCTGCAGGCCTCAGACTGGAGTTTCCCTGACACCAGTTCATTTAGTTTCATGGCTCTGTCCTCTCCTCCTTGCACTCCTCACACCTCTGTTTGCCAAAAACGCTTTTTTAGAGGTGTGAAATGTAGCGTTTTAACATTAACTAATTGATTTAATGTCGATAAATTAATATTACTACACCAGAGATCTGCAACCATGTCCAGCAGGTCCAACTTCTGTCTGAACTTGTTGGTTCTATCACTTTTTTATGTGGATGTCCAATTTTAATTACTTACACTTCATTTAACATTTGCTGCTCTTGTCTGTTTGAACTTCTTTCCTGTTTTTCTGCTTGTATAATTGTATAATTCTACACCACCTTATTTTAATTATTCCCCATGTGTATGTAAAAGCATGAGCATGCATTTGTGCACAAACACGATCTCAATGTCTTTCCTGTTCCTTTTATTCTTGAGTCAGGATAAAACCGTAAGACTATTTCATGCTTTATTAGGAACCAAGGACTGAGGTGTGCTTTGAATGCTGTCCATGCTTGTCAATAAAAGCCTTTTATCAGCCTCTACACATAGAAATGCACAGTTCATCGACATGTTATCACATTGTCTCAAGCCTTTATGGTTTACGCCAATCTCCTTCCTAGAGGGGGGGCGACTTCTCCACATCGAGAGATTCAACATTTATTCACTACTCAGAAAAACATGAGGGCGAGTGCTCCTATTGTCAAGAGTTTATATGAGACGAAGGACACAGGAGTATGGAAATCCCAATGGAATATGTTAGACTAGCAAGGAGATTTGGCTTTGTGCAGATACTGAAAATAAATCTAGAGACCTCTGCATGATGTATTCCTCGGATGGGCTTACTTCCCAAAGTTGGAAACGATTCAAAATGAGTTTCATTATATTTTGATACGTTCATAAGGATTCAATCCTGGTGAGAAGGCAACACAATAGCCATCTTGCATTTTAGAGCTCAAATTGTTTATTCTAAGGCTGAACAAATGATATCAAAATCGTTGTAATGACTGCTAAGATATTCTAATATTTCTTCAATCTTTTCAGGCGGAATATTAGTTTGAGACACAAAAAATGTGCACCCTTTAATTCCATTTCATCTATTGCAAAAGCTACAGCTTTCCACCATGAAACTCAGACACACTGTTTCTCTGTCATCCTGCTAACAAACAAACAAAAAGCAGGGCAAATAAACCAAGCCCTTAAAGGCTACACAGAGTAAAGGTTTCTCACACTTAAATACGGTGAGAAAAGGGGCACAAACGGCTTCTCCACTGGATTAGTAGACAGAAATAAAACGTTGTCCCAGTCCACAGAAAACACAGCACTTTCAAAAATCCTACAAAAAGTGTAAAATACTGTGAATCAGTGTGGGAATAAACCACAGCACCACAGCCATTAGAGGTTGATTCTCAGCAGCTGATGCGTTGTGTGTCTTTGTGTTGCAGTGCCGCCGTCAGATGGAGATGCGGGCCGACCAGATGAAGACACATTTGGGGTGAGTTTTCTTCATAATGATGTTGACGAAACAGCTGCTAAAGATGTTGCCCCCGGACTCACAGAGGAATCTAAACAGCGCTGTATTTGTCAGAGCAAACTCGTAGGGGTTTGTTCGACATGCAGCGCCGAGGCACAAAGACTACAACACGACAAACGATGTAAACGTCACTTCTCAAAGTCGTATGTGATGATGGCGACGCGCTAATGCAGTGTGTGGTGCTGGAATAATGCAAGGGATTCTGTGCAGTAATTTATTCCACTGTACTTCAGCAGAAACAGGCCTATGGTTAATGGGCTTTTTAATGGCATCTTGACTTGATTAATAACACTGATAACGGCCTGTTTCTACGGTGAAAAAGTAAGCAGCTTAGCGTAGAACTTGATACACATGGTTAAATTAACCCTTTGCACTGCGCTAAGTGTGAAGGACATTCATTTAGCAATACACTGAACCACAATAAGAGGCTGCTGCAGACTGAACACTGATGTCTTTTATATATACTGAAGGTTTTAAAGAAGACACGTGATGCTCAATTGTATTTTGTGTCTCTACTGTGACATGTCTCCTTGCTTTAATGTTCAAAAAGCTCTTTATTGTTCTCATACTGTCTGTGCTGCAGCACCTCTTTTCACCCTCTGTCTGAAACCAGAGCCCAGTCTGCTCTGATTGGTTAGCTGGCCGGCTCTGTTGTGATTGGTCAACTGCTTAGAGATGTCCCGCCCCTAAGCCTATCAGATACAATGTGTTGGAGCGCCTTTGCAGACCATTAAAATGCACACAATGATAGAACACACTGAAGGAAAGGGAAAACCCCAAATAGCATAATAAGGCCTTTAATGAGGATTGACAAAACTGAGAAATATGTCAACGCTGCCGCCACAATACATTCTTTACCCCAGCCATTCCTATATTATACTATACGCTTCCCAGGCCCTGCAGTAAGCTTCTTTATCTAGAGATGAGCCGTTTTTATGGTATTTTGGTCAAAAAAATCTTGTATAATGACCAGATGTAGCATGACATTGTGTCTCTTCTGGCTGGCACACTTTATCTCTGTGGCTTTGCATGCAGAGTGCACTGGGCCGGTGGTATCCGCTATTGGCAGACAGTCAGTCCTTCATGTATATGTTATGTGACTGTGTTTGGCAGAGATATGTGTACATTTTTGGATGTATTTCAATCAATGCAAACACTATACAGATAGCTTCATCATTTAACAATAAAGTATATATTTCAATACAGCCCCATGCAAAACCAATCTACAATATAAAGACATCCATCCAAACTTGTCCATAAACACTTTTCTTCCCAGGCTTTTTGACTTCTACCAGCGAGAACAAGCAAATAAAGCTAATTAAGAATGTTGTAATTGATTTCCTTTTCAATTTGATTAAAAACCAAAGATGTATTGGATTATCTAACAATGCATTAAACATTAGAACGGGCCATGCTGTTAATGATGATAACAAGCTAACTATTGTCTTTATTTTCATTATTTATTAAGAAATAAGATCGGAATTAGAAATATTTGATCTATTTTACAGCAGGGAATGTTTACAGTGTTACAGCAAAGAGATATCATAAATAGACTAACATTTAGATAATGAGCGACACACATGAATTGAATAAGCACTCCCATTCATCCAAATTAGGAACATTTCACTCATTTGGTTACTGGTTGCAATGATGTTGTTGAGCAAGGTTTTAAAATGGCGCTTTGATTTCCACTCTGACGGTAAGTCTGTCTGCAGATGAGGCTCATATTTAAATGACCACCTCTCAACTGGAACACATCGCAGCTTAGACAGGTGTTGAACTTTTGTTTCTGCCCAGACTGCTGTAATATAGGAGAAACAGTAGTCTTGTGGATTAAACTCTGATTTGCATTGTTTAAGGTGATCAGAAGTCTGGAGAGGATTATGATGTGAACACAGAGTGACTCAGCGGTTTCTTTTATCTCAGGTTTCCATCGCTGTGGGTTTGGCGGGCTTCGCTTGTGTCCTCCTCCTCGTCCTTTTTGTTCTCATCAACAAATACGGCCGTCGCTCCAAATTCGGTATGAAAGGTAAGTCTACACCAACAGACAGGCGGACGGTTCTTTTTGGTTTCTCTCCTTTCTGCCAGTTGCATCATTGTGCAGCATCCATTCCCCCAGCTAATCTTCTTTTCAAAACCTTTGTTCATCTGAAAATCTACACATGCAGACAGTACTTTTTACTGCATGTGTCGTTTGGAAAAAGAAGAAGAAGGTTATTAATGGTCCTGCAGATTGTTGCACTGGAGTTGTGTGTTCCTGCATGTTGTTAAGTTATAGACAGCTGGATCAATACTAAAGGGCAGTGTGCATGCAAACCAGGCCTGTATACTGTACATACTCTCTCTCACTTTCACCGTGTCTGCAATGTGAAGGGATCTGGAATTCATTAGCGGACTCGGCGCTGTCGATCATGCTGAGAAATTCAATAGGATTAACATGGCTTCTGTGCATGCTGAGCTTTCATTTTGTGTCAACTCCAGGTTTTTGCTTGTGTGTCTGGCGTTGGCGTGGTGGATCAGTGAAAAGGAGTCGTGGTGTTGATCTAGGAACAGAGAGAGAGAAGAAAGGAGAGGACGGCAGTGGCTCAGGTTCCTGTGGTTCACGATCAAGTGTTCACCCAACTGCAGCTCTTATCAGTTGGCAGGCAGAGTAGTGGACATTTGCTCGTGGTTGGTGGTGTGTGTGTGCATTTATCACAAAAAACACACCCTTTTGTCCCTTTTTATAACAGGGTGCATGGATTCCTCTGATCCTACCACATCTAAGTTTTCAATTTCGAGCATTTGTCACTTTCTTCTCCTTAGTGTCACTTTGACCAAATACAACACATTCTCACTCCCAACTCGTCCTATAGTGACGTTATGAGCTGCTCCGACCCTCGGTCCTGACGGACTCCAAAAGTCCGACATTATACAATCAAACAAATAAATAAACACAAGGATAATTGTGTGTTATTGTTGAGTAAATAACAGATTCTAATTAGAAGGAAAAACGGTGAAACAATACAGATTTCAGTTTTCTGAGCCCCTACTCTCCCCCTAACTGACGGCAACACAAGTCTGACATTATACAATTAAAATAAAGAAGTAAACACAATAAGTGTGGCTTGATATTGAGTAAGAAAAAGGTTGATAAACGCTGTGAGAATGGATCTGCGGAAAGCATTTCTCCGCGATCCCAACTCGTCTATTACCAACGTTCAGGGAGTTCAATGCAAGTCAATGGGACTCCCTGATAGTTTAAACTCAACGCTAAAGAGTTTCCCACTGCGTTAGAAAGAGACGCCAAGGGATCCTGACATAACGTCACTATAGGACGAGTTGGGAGTGAGCATGTGTTGCCCAATACCACAAACCACGCATGTTTCTAATTTCATCCCGTAAGCATGGTGTAAAGCAGCATTAGCCGCTTCCCTTAATTAACTACTTTACAGGATTAGCGTTAGTAACTCACCTCGGTAAAGAAGTCTCTGTGTGATTATTTAGGGCCAGGCAATTATTCCGTTGGCCTAATGCTGGCTCTAATGAAGGCAGAGGTTTATAGTTAATGAGGCTTTACAGACGTGTTTGTCATGTAATGGCAAATCGTGAATTTAAGCCGTGCTAACAAACTGCTTCGACACACAGAAGCCAAAGTCTCAAACCGTGATGGAAACAGGAGACAATAAATGCAAGATGTTGGGAGACAGAGATCACAGGGAGGAGACACACCGTGACATGAAGGCAATTTGACTATTCGTGTTTACTGTCAAAGATTGAATTGGTGTCACAGAGCTTGCTAATGATGCGTCTCCGTTATGCTAACATTCATATTCCTTTTTATGTAAAGCAACGTTTTATGCCGATTACAGTGCGTTTTGAACACAACAAATTGGTTGGATCTCTTTTAAATCCAACCGCAACCAGAATCTGTGTTAAAGATCTTCCTTATTTGTACATCTGCTTTCTTTCTTTTTTAAAGCACAGCATCATATTGCTGGTATCGACCTGTTCATCACGAGGTCGCCACGCCCTAGAGCCAGCTATTTTACTTTAACATCGTAGTGTATTATGTTCGTAACCTGTATTTAAATCAGGCTTTATAATTATTTGAGTGACCGATATCATGTAAGTGTATTTCAAGTGTACTATGTATTAATTTATTGAGCTGTACTTAAATCAGGTTTTAAAATGGTTTGACTGATAGAGATCATGCAATGTTATTAATTGTTTATTGATTGTTATGAACCTGCCTGAGGACCACAGATGGAAATGAGCTATTAGCTATAATCTGGCATATTGCATCTCTTCTCTCTTTGCTGAGATTCATGTTTTTGTTTTTCCTTCTATAAATACATACATATATATATATATATAGGTGTAGTGATATATCTATATATATATCTATATATAGGTACATCTAGTGATTAATACCAGGAAATCATCAGGGAAATGTTGAGAAGGCATGTTTTTGATAGACTTCAATACAACCAGGATTAATTTGCTGCCAGTGGAGAGCCACTTGATGGAAAACAGGTTTAGGCTAGCGTAATGAGACGACAAGCAATCAAGACAATACATTGATCAGGTACATGTTAGACATCAGTATGTGAGAAGTAAGGGTCCTTTTCTCATAGACTTCTAGACACATACGCTTTGCAACAGGTCAATGTTGTGTGGAGCATATATTCTGTTTTACGCAACTCTTGACATACAATTAGCTTCCTGTTTCTGCTGCAAAATCTTTTTTCCTATTTAGTCCACTCCTTATTTAGTTGGGATTTGAACCGGCGACCCTCCAGTTACAATGCCAAGTCCCTACAGACAGAGCAATGAACATCATGCTGTATGACGCGTCGTTGAGCTTTAGGAAAAGCGCTATAGAAATCCCATCTATTATTATTAATATTAGTCTTTACAGTACTTAGTGATTGAGACCTTAAAGTCATATGTAAAAGGTTCACTTTGGTATTTAATCAAGTGAGTGTCCTTTTCTCATAGACTTCTAGAACAAAGGCTTTTCTTGCAACCAGTGCCATTTGATGCAACACAGTAATGAACAATGCACCGTATCGTGGCAGCATTGAGGGGTTCTGTTTCGTGTTTCAATGCAGCGTTTCTGGAGGATGTTCATTCATTCTTGGACGAAGTGTGCTTCAGATGCAGTTTCAGTTCTCTCTAAGCCTGAGCGCTGCAAAGCATCATTCATCTCTTTGATAGCAAGGTCCAACGTTCTCTTGGACACTGTAGGGCGTCTTTTAAAAATTGCATGGATATTTCACTCGCGGTTCTCGAGTAACGCTCGCTGCTTCGTATGATATGTTAAGATTGCTCGCTTTGCTCAAGGGCACCTCAGCTTTTTCTGCCAAGAGACCGAGCCGCATATTTCATCCTTTTTTTATTCTCTGCTCCGATCATGTTTTCTTCCCCGAGTCATTTGAGTTCAGCTGCCTCTTTCAAGGTAACAACTGGTTTCATGAATTACTGTGATGGGAAATAGGTTTATTGAAGGTTGAGCAAATCAACAGGTTGAGCCGTTTGTTGATTTCTTCAGCGTAAGGTGGAGCATCGTGTTTCTGCAGTTCTGTCCATGAGGTCCGTACACATGAGGTCCGTACACATGAGGTCCGTACACATGAGGTCCGTACACATGTGGTCCGTACACATGTGGTCCGTACACATGAGGTCCGTACACATGAGGTCCGCACACATGAGGTCCGCACACATGAGGTCCGCACACATGAGGTCCGCACACATGAGGTCCGTACACATGAGGTCCGTACACATGAGGTCCGTACACATGAGGTCCGTACACATGAGGTCCGTACACATGACGTCCGCACACATGTGGTCCGTACACATGAGGTCCGTACACATGAGGTCCGCACACATGAGGTCCGCACACATGAGGTCCGCACACATGTGGTCCGCACACATGAGGTCCGCACACATGAGGTCCGCACACATGAGGTCCGCACACATGTGGTCCGCACACATGAGGTCCGCACACATGTGGTCCGTACACATGAGGTCCGTACACATGAGGTCCGTACACATGAGGGACGTACACATGACGTCCGTACACATGAGGTCCGTACACACATGAGGTCCGTACACACATGAGGTCCGTACACATGAGGTCCGTACACATGAGGTCCGTACACATGAGGTCCGTACACATGAGGTCCGTACACACATGAGGTCCGTACACACATGAGGTCCGTACACATGAGGTCCGTACACATGAGGTCCGCACACACATGAGGTCCGTACACATGAGGTCCGCACACATGTGGTCCGTACACATGTGGTCCGTACACATGAGGTCCGTACACATGAGGTCCGTACACACATGAGGTCCGTACACGTCTTCATGCAATGTACAAAGAAACTTTCAAATCAGAAGTGGTGGAAGAAATACTCAAATATTACACTTAGCAGGAATACCATGTTGTTAAATTACTCTGTTACACATAAAAGTCTTGCCTTCAAAATGCTATAGAGTAAAAGTACAAAAGCAGTGGCTTCCACATGTAGTAAGGTACCAAAAGTAAAAGCACTTGTGGGACTAAAACATAGAAGACTGGCTTCCAAAATGTAGAAGTATAAAGTAGCCTGAAACAAAAATACTTAACATTACATGTCAGATGCTTTTATCCAAAGCGACTTACATGCATTTAACCTGTTCTACCCACTAAATGCTAAATACTAAATACTAAATGCATGTAAGTCGCTTTGGATAAAAGCGTTTTTTTTAAAAAAAAACCACAATGCTAACGCTCAGCCTCTGAATTAGCAACGAGAGAAAAAATGCTCACGCATTACTGCACATAAACTCACTCATAACCAGTGTTGTGCTAGTTACTGAAAACCAGTAACTAGTTACATTACTAGTTACTTCATTTCAAAAGTAACTCAGTTACTTTACTAGTTACTTACACTCAAAAGTAATGCGTTACTGTGAAAAGTAACTTTTTTGTTACTTAACAAAAGGGCTCCCATTACTGCCCTTATAGCCTTCATTTCAGTACTGTTATTGCATTGGAGAATAATACAATCTGTTGATCAACTTGACATGCATTATATGCAATCTGGATTGCATCGATATTAGCTGGCTTTCCATTTTTGTATATTCTTTCTCCAGGTAGTTGGAAAAAGTTTTCCGTCCCATATGCCGTGTGCCGCCCGGACATGCTATCATGCTAACTAGCTCCCTGAAAGCGGGTGACTCCACTGTAGCAATAGCCTGCATGTGTTCTACAACATACCGTGCAATGGCTTTATCGACGTTTCCCTGGCTAACTGTCCCTTGGTTAAAATCCAGCCGCTGTTGCTTTGGTGGAGGTGGAGTGGCGTCGGCTGAGTCTCTGTGGTCTTAGCTACTAGCTTCGTCCCAGCATGTTGTTTCTGCAGATGTTTTAAGAGATTTGAATGACTGGTTTGGGCAGTAGATAAGATCTTTGACCCGCCAAGACACAACTTACATTTAACTAAAACGTTCTTTTCTTTGTGCTCGACAAAGTGAAATAGTGAGAATATCTCCA